ATATTATTTCAGGGAGATATTATCTACTTAGCAAACGTTGGAGATTCACGTGCTGTACTTGGCACCACTTCCGAGAGTGGAAACTTGGTGGCCGTTCAGCTTACAATCGATTTCAAACCAAATCTGCCTCGTAAGTCTGTTTATTTAGTAGGATATCCTTTTTTTTCTATTTTTATTTTTTCTAATTTCATATGTGTACATATAAGCAAATGTGAATTGTTTGCGTTGTTTCTAGCAAGTCTCTCTACAGTACGCCTCACATTTGCACTAATTTGCGACGGGAAATTTTTTTTTTATTACACACAATACTTTTCAGCCATAAATTTATTTCTTTTATTGCTCTTAATGCCCCCCCAAAAAAGGAACCTAATATTGCTTTCCAATGATTGTCTTAATAATCATATACAGAGGAAGCCGAGCGGATAAGGCAGTGCCAGGGAAGAGTCTATTGTCTGGATGACGAGCCAGGTATTCATAGGGTGTGGCTGCCCCATGCTAACTCTCCTGGACTAGCAATGTCCCGAGCATTCGGGGACTATTGTGTGAAGGATTTCGGACTTATATCCTTGCCTGAGGTCACTCATAGGCACATCACAAGCAAAGACCAATTCATAGTGCTAGCAACGGATGGGGTATATATATATATATATATATGCGACTTCGCAATTTATTTATTTATTTATTTTTAACTTTAAATCTCCGTAAGGCTATGTTTGGTATAACTAGTTGAAGTTGATAGCTGATAAACTAGCTTGTAGCTTATAAGTAATTTTCGAACTTATAGCTGAAAAACTAGCTTATATATAAAAGTGTTTGGTTAAATTAGCTATAAGCTAGCTGAAATAGAAATTTCAACGAACTTTTTTTCAGAGAAGCTTATGAGATAAACTCGAGCTATTTAAAAAATTCGTCCTACCAAGCTAAACTTATTTGAATACAGGAAGTTTTAAGCTAATCAAATAAGCTATAAGATAGCTTATTTGGCTACCAAACATAGCCTAAATAACCACGCCGTTAAAATGTTAAAACTTAAAAATGCTGATCTTCTTGCATTAATTTTTCGTTCTTTTTGCGGATACCTAAAGGTTTGGGATGTCGTGTCTAATCAAGAAGCCGTGCAAATTGTATCAACGAGCCCTGATCGGGCAAAATCGGCCAAGCGTTTGGTCCGATGTGCGGCTCGTGCTTGGAAGAGGAAGAGAAAGGGGATAGCTATGGATGATATATCAGCAATTGTACTCTTTTTTCATTCATCTACTTTGTGTGGGGAAATTCAAAATCAAGATGCACCTTTATAGAACACACTAGTTGAGTTGTTCTGGGTGCTAAAAAAATTCCCTTAATATATTGTTCTCCATCTATCTATGTATATTCAATTCTAGTCCGTTTACTTGTCTAAAGTATTTTTTTGGTACACTTTCCCTTTATAAGAAATAGTCGTACATTGTGTTGCAATTTGTATTATTTTTGAAATATTACTCATCAAAATAGTACATTATTATGTTGCAATTTGTATCATTTTTGAGACATTAATCCCAAAAAACTTACGTATCATTTTTGGGATCTATGTTCCAATAACGAAACAAATTGCAACATAACGTACTATTTTTTATTAGGATAAATTTAGTGTACCAAAAAAAACTTTAGCCAAATAAACGGATTAAAATTGATTTTTTTTCATATATTGGGGTTACGGTAAATATGTAGGTGTCAAATAAATTGAATATAATTTTAGTCAACAATTTGACTTGAACGATTTATCTAAAAATTATTTGCCAACAAACCGAGTAAGGTATGTAACGAAGTAATATTAAAATTAAAGCATTGGGGACAACCAGTTCCAAGCTCAATTTCCCCGATTTACATCTGGCAATATTTAATGGCAACTCAACCTTATCTATTTTATTAAGATTACTAATCCTCACAGACAAGTCTTAACAAGAATAATTGATAAATAATTAACTTAGAGAGTACGTAGAGTTTACAATTTTTTTTTTATTTTTTTATTTTTTTTCAAAACGATAGATGTTTTATAACTCAAAACAAAACAAAATAACAAAGTCTTTACAAATCGATGATCCACTTATTACAAAAGAGTCTGATAGGGATACTAAATCTTAGACCCAACTCGGAAAATTATCTAACCAGACATGGTTATGAGCACTTAATGCTGCTTCCAAAGCTAAGCTATTACAACTATACAAAGAGGAACAAGGAGCAAAAGTAAAATTACACTTGATAAACAAAGAGGCTAAGAGAGAGATGTCTTCAGCCATAGTTTACAATGTTAAATAACCAGAATTTACAATGTTGGGGGGAAAAAGAAATTACGAATAATTTAATAATAATTTATAGGGGGAAGAGTAGTCGAAAAACCTAAAGATACATGGATCGAATTCCGTAAACAACAGTAAAACACTAATGGTTTAATAATGGCAAAATAGCTCGTTATATCACGACCTTTTAACAAATTGTTAAAACATCACGACTTTTGGATCTTGGCGGAGAATATCACGACAAAGACAATACTTACTTTTTTCTGTTGAGAATACTTACTTTTTGCCAATTGTTGCCACAACAACCTGAGAAATGACAAAGACAACATGCAGAGCATGTATTATCCTCTGAAAACATAGGAAGATGCTTAACCATGACATAACCTTCCTTCATCTTTGGCCCATACTCTTGTGAAAATGATAACTTCGACACCTCCAAAAACTTGCATACCTAGGAAAAAAATACAGAAAGAAGAAAAAGAAAGAAATTGTTTTGACATTTCATGTAGGAGAACAGATAATGCAACATATCTACTGCATATTAACTTCAGAAGCACAGGGATAATCCACTACTAGCTGGAAGAGGCCTAATTTCATTACATGTGAGTAAAAATAAACAACGAGATTATATATGAAAAGGTAAATTACACCTTAATGTCATTTAATAAACGTAATGAGCTATTTAATTAGTCGCTAATCTTGTCCGCTCTCACTATGTGGGAATGAGATAAAATATGAAATAGAAAATGCAAGTACGTGATCATCCATCCCCAATCATGCAACCAGATTAATGGGATTGACAATCCAGAAAAGAAAAAAAAAAAAAAAAAAAAAAAGGGTTGACAACACGAATAACTGGCAACAATAAAATATCCCTTTTACACTAAATTTTTTATGCATTAGATTAAAACTAGCTTGTTGCTATGACTTTCTCCACCGTAAGAGCGAGAAACTAGGATTCAATGGAATAAACTAGGACTTCATAGTTGTCTAATTAAAAACACTAATTAATCGGGAATGAACTTAGTTTCCACTTTTCACCTCTCGTGAATTAATGATGTCCAAGTTTCCCAGAAAATGATTCAAATAGCCTTGCATGGCAGCTTTTGCTTTGTCTGAAACATTCTGCTGCTTGCCAATAGACGGACGAATGATTGACAATGCAGCGCTGGACGGAACATATCTGCATAAGGAAATAAGAAAAAATATAATATTCATAAAACCATTTTTAAAAAAATCAAAAGTTTGAGTCTAACATTTTTGTTACCTGTTTTTATTGTAATCATCATTGTATACAGGCACAGCTCCATCATCAGGCTCATCCACATCATGCACAACTGTTGTGTGGTCTCCTAATCCAACATTTTGCAGCCATTCCTTAACCTTTTAAGGACAAAACTATAAAGGATCAGTAGCAACAAACGACAAAACGAAGTTTATAGAAAAAACAGCAGACCACGTCAAGAAAACATAAAAGGTCAAACATGAAAAATGCAAAAGGACGTGTCATGACCAGCTGTGAGGATGAAAGGGAGGAAAGAGACCTGCTCTTGCTTCTCATGGAACTCTTCAATTATTGCATGTTTCTTCAGTGCAAAGTGTAAATAAATAACTTGAGAAGCCTTCTTCAATATTCGCCATTTAAACTGTCAAGACAAATTTACCCAAGATTAATAACCAGTTGACACATTACATATTTCGTCGGCAAGGACAATAATTTCATTATCCAAAGAAAGTAAGCATTTTGGTCTTGGTAAACAAACAAAAACTACGACAAAAATCAGAGGTTGAAATCCCTGAACAAAATACTGTAGCTCTTTGAATGGTTTTGAAGGAACAAAACATCTCGTGATCTCAACAATTGCTTGTCACGTGAAAATGATTCATACTTCATTAAGCAAAAACACTAAGTCCAAATTGTAACACCACAGCACATTTTACTAATACCAACTACCGAACAAAGCATATACTCCACATCAAGAAAAAAACAACCATTACTTCCCTAGAAACAGAACAAAAAATACATACATAAATGATGAACGAGTAAATAAAAAATCTGCAATTGGATATCCTATTTTTTGGTTATTTTTGCAAGACAATGGCACTACAGTAGATTAAACTATCTAAGGAAACAAAATTTCTGCTCGTTGGCTTTTACTGATGGATTAACACACGCATACCGATCCAAAGGTAAGAACCCGTTAATTGGAGGGTGAAATTTCCCCAATATTAGCCAAAATCGAGTTATCTTCAGGTTCTTAAATAGCGCTGGCATAGAAAACGCCACTGTGCCACATGCTTTTCCAAAAAAAAAAATAACATGTACGCGCCACAACCCATGGATACACATGCGATAAACACTGAGCGGGAGCACGCGCACCGAAGCACGTGCCTATCACGTGGAAAGCAAAAGGCTCGGAGACCAATGGATAGGTTACCTGTTTGTACTGGAGCTCGATGGTGTACGACAAAAGCAACGGCGTGATGTCGCTCGCATCGGGACGAGAGACGGATACGACGGCCGCCGTCGGCAACTCCTCGAAAATCCTTTCTTCCGACGAATCTCCGCCGGGACGGAGAGAGTGAGAGGAAGAGACTGCCGGTCGCCGGACGCCGGAAACGAGCCTCTCCGACAACATTNGGACAAAAATACTCCTCCTTGCTTGCCTTGATTAAATTTTTGTTTCAGTATGTAAATATACACGAATCCATGGCTAAGAATTGATTGATTCGCACAGAAGATTTTTGTTGCTTTCTCAACTGGAAATTTTTTTCCGTATTTTTGCAGTGACGTGAGACGTAATATAGCGGCAAGGAGGTGCCACAAAACGATGAAATGACAAATATAGCTCTCCAATTTTGACATATACTAATAATTATGATATGTCAAAATTAAGTAGGTTCTTATATTTGAATTCGGGCTTAAACTTTTATCAAATCAAATGAAATTTTGATTATTAACTAAACGAGTCAAGAGTTCGAATTCAATTCGTTTCATTGGTAATAAATTGGATTTGAACACTAACTAGCTAAAGTAAGATAAAAATTTAGAAAAATTATGTTTAAAACCTCTATTCTCAATCTTTGACTTTAACTAGTTAAACTCAACCTATTAGCTAAACAAGTTGGTGTGGATCTCGGAGATGACTCGTTGAACAAATCGACCCAAAATTTACTTATTATTTAAATGAGCTCGCGCCATAACGAGAGTCGGGCTGCATTAACATAAACCAAGATAAAAGGCAAATATATTAAAGGGGCATTAGGGTAATTAGCACATGGTGTGATGAAGGAGCATCCTTGGAATATCCACGCTGCATTGTGCGGCCTCGATACGAATATGCTATAGACACCTATTTCTTTTGAAGAACATGAACTTAATAGGAATATACTCCCAATCTTTTTTTTATAAAAAAAAAAGAAAAAAAAATAAAACTAAAACTACATAATTACAGCTAGAAATTAGCTAGAATCCCAAAGCAACCAAAGATCTATCTGGAGCTAGCCTAGAAGCAACTCCACTAACTGACCCACAACACAACAAACTAAACAGCTGACACTTCCAAAAGAAGAATAACAAAGCTCCCAATAGGAGAATACACATAACGCACTCCCAACAGGAGAGAAAGAAGAAAAAACTACACACAAACACAACA